TGAGTTGAACAGAAGCTGTGCTTAAAACACCTTGTGCCCATGAGGCTCTTTACTTTCTCTGAGTGAAATGAACACAAAGTTGCAGCCAATTCTCAAGTCTCCCTTGGTTATAATTTTACCTGGAGTTCTTCGGTCTTCCCAGCACACATATAGATTTCCAGACAGTTGGGCATACGTGGAGGCTGTCTCGGGGTCATGTGGAGGCCATGTCCGGGGCCTGTGTGGAGGGATGTCTTGGGGATGAGTGGAAACTGTGTCTCAGGGTCATGTGGAGGCTGTGTCTTGGAGATGCATGGTGGAGATGTGTCTCAGGACTTTTCCTTCCTGGACTTCCCATTAAATTCCCAGCTGGACTGCCTCTTGCCCTACCTGGCGACAGGACTCTGACCCAGCAAAGCTGAGGATTTCCTGTTACTCCGTGCCAGCCCAGCCCTTCTTGCTGAGCTGATGTCTGTTGTGTTTTAATTTTCTCTTGGTCTGGGGCTCATTTATGTTGCCTCCTGGTAAGTTTTTGCATTGAAATCCAGGCATTGTGTGTGGAATATGGGATAGCTTTGTGCTCTGGGGGTGATTTTCATCCATAAAGTTTTCACTTTTGCTCTTGGCGGGGAGTGAGATAAGAGGGGATCGCCTTAATCCAGTCAGGAATCAAATGCACTCAGGCCGGGGCTTCTGTCTTTCTCCAGGCGAGTCTATTTCCAGTTCATCCCTACTCCGAAGTCTTGCTGCTTAAGTCCCAATTAGAGCCTGGAACAGTCACCAGAGCCCCTCCTCCTGAAAGGTGTCGCATTGCTGGCGGTTTCCTGGTTCCATGAAGCTGCCTGACGCTCTGCACAGCGTCCCGGTGTGTCAGTGGCTGGTTTCTGATGCTCGTGGTTTGACAGAGGCTTCAAGGGTTGAACTGGCACCACGAGTTGGGCTCACTCTGCACGTCCATTCTCCCTGGGGTCTTGACTCCCCAGGTTCTTGCTGTCTTTGTGACTCTCAGCAGATGTGCACACAGAGAATGTGGGGAGGCATAATAGAATATTTGCAACAGGAAGGAAAAAAAAAAGACCCAGAAGAGTCTGTAACAGTGGCAGGAAAAGGTGTGCCCCCCTCCCCCATTGTCTCAAAAACAACCTTCTCTGAGACCCACTAAAGTCTCCCAAACCTGACATCAGGGGCAGGAACTCCCAACCCAGCCCAACTCTAAACATCTGAAACATTGGCTGTTGTAAGATTATGCTAATAGTGATCTCCATTTCCCCAGATTGTTTTGATAATGAAATAAGCGCACCTTTCATCATCATTAACATACTTTCATCATCATGAACATATTTCAGCATCTACTGTATACATGTGCTGGGTTGGCTCTTCTGCTTATTTTATTCAATGTTTAAGACTTTCCAGAGCTCCGAGCATATTTGCTGTCCTAGAAGTCTAGAAGGGGTGCAAGTGCTGGAACTACAGACGTGCGCCATCACAAACAGCTAATTTTTTTGATTTATTGTAGAGAAGAGGTCTTGTCATGTTGCCCAGGTGTTCTCGAATCCGTGGGCTCAGGCAATCCTCACACCTCTGCCTCACAAAGTGCTGGGATTACAGGTGAGCCCCCGTGCCCTGCTGAGGAGTGTTTTTTAATCTCTCCTGGGCTTGAAACCTGCAGGACCAGGAGCCACGTGGAGTGGGGCATTTCCCAGAGATCCTGGGTGCCTGGCAGCCGGCAGCTGCACCCTTCACCTGCGGAGCCTGAAAAGTTCAAAAGGGCCTGCAGGTCGCACCCAGCCGTGCAGTTTGGGGTCATGCCGGGCTCTAGGTGGGGGCCTAGAGCCACAGGTCACTACTGGCCACCAGGGGCGCCATCCTCCCTCGAGGACCTTGTTTAGTACCAGGCTGGACAGGGGTCGGCTGGCAAACTATGACCTGGGGCCAAAGCCAGTGCTGCCTGGGTTTTGTATGACCCGTGAACTAAGAATATTGTATATATATGTACACAGAGGCGCATATATGTATACACACACACACACACACACACACAGAGTGCCAAAAATGTATACATTTTAAGAAAGGAAAAAGCCAATTTAATTACAATTAAAATTGTAATATGCCACTAACAAACATCACGTTTCACTTCTACAATTACAAGAGGTACTCAAAGTGGTTACCATCAGCGTCCAGACACTTATGATGGCGAACATCTCTTAGCATCTCTTAAAATGTGTCTACATTCTGGCACTCCTGGTGTATGTACATACACACATACATTTGCATGTGGACATCTGGTTGTCAAGTACCACTTGCTGAAGATCATCCTTTCTCCACTGAATGGCCTTTACTCTGTTACCAAGACCGGCTGGCTGCATTTATGGGGTCACTCCCAGGCCCTCTGTCTGTTCCATGATCTATCTGATCCCTTCGCCTGCCAGTTGCCCTGTCTTGACCTCTGCAGTGTCACGGGAAGTCTTGAAGGCAGCATGCGTCTGTCCTTGACTTTGCTCTCTCCTTCTGTGCTGTGTGGGTCGTTCTGGGTCTTTGCATCTTTGTGTAAGCCTTGGAATCAGTTTGCTGGCATTCGCAAAGATTTCTCCTTTGTGAAATAGTTGGGAACATCAAAACAAGAGCATTTTGTGCTGTGCGAGAATCCGTGGACCCACGCCTGGCCTCCCTCCGTCAGTGGGTCTGCTCATGGTTCCCCGTGGCTGCCTTCATGCCACAGCCGCAGAGGCGAGCCATCAGGACAGAGACCATGTGGTCTGTGAAATCTGACATATCAGCAGCCTGCCTTTGCAGAAGAGGCTGGCTGGCCCTGGCCCAGGTCCCTGGCATGTGGCTCTATGTGGCTTGTTGGCTGTGAGCATGGCCCGTGGAGTCAGTGGGGCTAGGCCTGTTTTCAAACCCCGTCATGGTCATTTGCTAGTCGTATCTCCTTTAAGAGGCCACTTGATCTGTTTCCCATCTGTGTAGTGGAAGGTCTCAGTTTCCCATCTGTGTAGTGGACATGATGGTACTCATCTCATGGACTTGTTGGAGTCACAAGTCATGAGTTGTTTCGTGCATGTATGCGGGACCACGTCTGGACATGAAGCCACTTTCACGCACTGGCTCTGTGGACATTCTCATCCTGGCTTGTACAGGGCAGCACCAGCCTCACCTTGAGTCTCTGTCCCGCTCGCTCACTCCTCCCTCCCCTTCTGCAGTGGTGTGCGTCCCAGAATACACCTGAAAGTCATCACTTCAAAGACCCGCCCTGGGGCTCCCAGTTGCTCCCGGGCTCCCTGGGCCCTTCAGCTCCAGCCCTGCCAGGTCCATGCCCCTGCCCACCCATCTCTGCCCTCTGGTTTCAGGCCCTGCCGTGTCTGTGTCCCTGCCTGCTCGCCCAGCCCTCTGGCTTCAGGCCCTGAGCTCCAGCCTTTCCGGCACTCTGGGCTGGCCCACACCTCCATATCTTCCCGTTGTGGGGCTCTTTCTGCCTAGAAAGCTCGCTTCTGGGAATTTTGGAAGGTTACCTGGGAGCTGGAATGGGTGACGGCACCACGCCCTGAGCAAACTTTCTGTGGAAATCAGTGCCCGGCTCTGTGGGGGGGGGGGCACAGCATGGGAATCTGCCATGGCTCCCATGAGCCTCTAGATAGGTCCTTACAGGTCAGCAAGGAGCATACAGAAGAAGGCTGGGCTGATAGGAAGGGAGCCCCTCCCCCAAGCTGGGTTCCCTCTGGCATTGCTGGCACCCTGGGGGCTCTGGCAGGGTGTACTCACACTCCTGTGGGGGGGAGGGAGGGGAAGTGGGGGCCCGGTCTCTGCTTAAATGTCAGTGTCATCCATGTATCATGTAGTGGTGGAAATGAGAATCAAGGTTACATAACAGTGAATGGCACTCACGTTGCAAGATTAAACACGCTGTCAGGACACGCAACCACCCCGTGGTCATGACTGAGAGGAACGTGAGCCCGGGGTGGGCTCAGGAATGTGAACAGACCATCACTTTGACTGTCGGAGCAGTGGCATCATGTGGGGGGAGCTTCTTCCCTTCTTTTAGAGTGCTGGTAATTTAAAAATACTATTACTTATATAGTTTAAAAACATCGTATGGGAAAGCTCACCCACTTGTACACTTAAAATGAATTCAGGCCAAGCTCGGTGGCTCAGCCTGTCATCCCAGCACTTTGGGAGGCCGAGGCGAGCGGATTGCCTGAGCCCGTGGGTTCGAGACCAGCCCGGGCAACTTGGCGCAACCTCGTCTCTATGATAAATCAAAAAAATTAGCCGGGCGTGGTAGCGCACACCTGTAGTTCCAGCTACTTGGAAGACTGAGGTGGAAGGATCACCAGAGCCCAGCAGGTTGAGGCTGGGGTGACCGTGAGTGTGCCACTGCACTCCAGCCTGGACAACGGAGTGAGACTCCAACTCAAAAACAAGCAAAAAAAAGGGTCCAATTTATCATGTGGAAATTATGACTTAAAAAGTTAAAAAAAAAAAGTCCATGTTTTAAAAGGCAGACCACAGGCAGAGTCTGGGCCCCCTGTCTGCCCCCACGCAGCAAGACCCACGCAGGCCCCTTCCGGTGCTCAGTGCAGCCAGGCTGCCAGGAAGTGACGGCTCCTCCCTGAGGCCGCCTCACCCTTCAGGCTCTTCTGGGGTGTCCTGGACCTCCCCCGCCTTGTCCAGATCCCCGAACAGCAACTGTGTGTCCAACCTCCTTCCTTTGAAGCTTCTGCGCTTTGCTAGAGCAGACACGCACAGCCCGAGCGTGATAGAGTGTCACTGCCGCACCCCCCCCACACCCCAGATAACTGTTTTGCTTTTCGTCCTGGGATTCTGCCTAATCAGTTGCATTAATAGAAACACGGTGTCCCCAACAATGGAGGTGACTGACAGAGCAATGGAGCTGGGCTTTCCGAACACAGGGAACATGACTGGGCTGGGCACACAGAGCGGGCTGGGAGGAGGGCCACAAGAGACACGTGTTTGGGTGGGAGTTATTCCAGAACAATACCCTGAACTCCTTGTGCTGTCTTCAGAGACCACCCAGATCCTTGCCTATCCTCGACAGAACACGCTGGAAGGACAGCCATGGCCGGAGGTGAGGCTTTACCCTGGTGGGGATGGGGGGATGTGGGAGGGTAGGGAGCATGTTCCCTTGAGTGGGGCCCTCCAAGTCCTGGAGTCCTGGGGCCGCAGCCCTGCCTTCCCAGGACAGCAGCAGCCTGGCGGGCGGCACCAAATCTCCCGGAATGCAGGCTCTTGGGTCCTGCAGACTGAGCGGACAGCTCCCAAAAGTGTCCAGAGAGGGCAATAAATGGCCTGTTATCTCTGTGGACCTTGAAGCAGATGGGCGTGTTATCAGAGGAATCTGGGCGAGGTCTTCCCGGAACACACACCAGATAAGGGCTGCAAGGAAGCCAGCGACCCGGGCGACTCCAGGCGGCCTGTCCTCTTGTTTGTGATGGGAGACACAGTCTTGTCTTTTCACTGCACGCTGTTACCCATAGTCATGTTCCATCCTCTCTTCAAAGCTGGGGAGAAGACACACCCTCCCTCCCGGCCCTTCCAGGTCACCCCGTCGGTCCTGACCCTCCCACACCACCCCTGGAAGCAGAAGTGCTTTGGGCTCTGGGTACCAGCATCTCAGGAGGCCTGGGGATCAGGAGCACTGGGTCTGACTCTCCTTTGGGGCTCAGGACACGGTGATCTGTGGGGACACGAGTCCCCCAGCTTCACGTTCTCCCAGTTTTTAGCAGCAAGTGAACACGACGCCTAGCGCATTTGCTTTTGTGAGTCACCTTATTAAAAAGGGAAGCAGAAAACACTAATCAACAGAGGTGGAGGTGTCTGTTCTTCTATTTTTAGTCAAGATACACTGGGTCACTGCATAATGATTTATTTTTATTGCGGCAAAAATACACAAACATAAAAGTCACGCTTCTAACCATGTCTCAGTGCACAGCTCAGCATCACACTCTCAGACTGTCGCCCAGCCGTCACGCCGTACCATCCCAGGGCTCTTTCTCAGGACAAGAACTGGCTTCCCCTCCTCTTCTTTTCTCTCCCACCCCTGTTGGAGGCATCACTCATTGTCTGTTGAAGTCCCTGCCCCAGGCACATGTCCTCTTTCGAGGCAACCTGGGTGTCGGGTCAGAGAATGTGGCTGTGGACGCAGCTGCGTCTGGTGTCTGAGCCTGGACCGAGCTAGTTCACAATGGCATCTACACTGGGTTTTCAGGCCTTGCCTGTTTCCACACATGGCAGCTGATGCTTCTGGCGTTCGGTTTCTGTTGCAGGCCCTGAAGGAGTCTCCCTTCCCATGTGACCCAAGGAAGCTGGGCTGGAACCTACCCTCCCAGTCAGGTGGGTGACCCTGGCTGTGACGGGAGGGGCCCGGAGGCTCCCGCCTGAGTGCTCCTGGGCACGTGGGCCATTCAAGCCCCTCTCCCTGCCCCCCGCCCCTCTGCTGCCCTGATTCCCTGTTGATCTGCAGAGTGACATAGCCCGACGCACACTCAGGGTACTGCCAGCCTGGCCTCCTCGCAACTGACCTGAGACAGGGTGGACACTGGAGTCTCGCCTGCCTGTGGGTGGCCAGCGTGTAGGAGCTGGAGGTTGGAGCATGGTCCCTCATGTGGCCTCCCCATTCCTAGAACATGGTCACGATGGCAGACATTTTCCCTGTAAAGGGCCAGGCTTGTCCGACAACCCTGACGCCATGAGGTCTGCTTCTGAGTGGGCACAGGGTTCGCCTGTGTCACTTGGGACAAACTGCACCTGAGTTTTGGGCTCACATGATATGGTGTTCCCTTGGGTACCCAGGTAATTGTGTTGTTACTTTCCTTCCCTGGCCTCCTCATGTCAAGAGGCTGTGTTAGACTGTGGATAATCGTTCTCTTTCCCTGTGTGTGTGGTGCTGACTTGACCGGGTGTCGGGTCACACATTGCTGTTCTGTGAGGACTTGAGGTTGGAAAGTGACCAGGTATGCTTCAGGTCGTGGCTTCCTCAGGAGTCTACACAGCACGTTTCAGGACATGTCTGCCTCCGGGGTCTACACAGTACACTTTATTTAGGACATGGGCTCCTTGGGGGCTGCTCTGAAATGCCCTTGTAGCCCACCGGGGAGTGTGGCTGGTGTTTTTTAGTGAGCCGTCATTTCTTTTTTTTTTTTGAGTTAGAGTCTCACTCTGTCGCCCAGACTGGAGTGCAGTG